TGGGGCTGGGGCTGGGGCAAGCACTGCGCAGGGAGGGGGTAGGGTGGCCTGCACCATTGCATGCCACTGGCCCTGGAGCTGCTCATGCGGTGGCTTGTCCAGCGACTCTAGCCATAGCTCCTGTTACCAGTCTGGGAAGGCATGGGGCGGGGACATGTGCCCCAGGATCTGCACAGGGTGGGCAGGGCTGGGGCTGCTCTGGGCTGTGCTCCAGGTGGAAGGCACTGGGAGCGGGGGCTATGTTCCCCCACCACTCGCCCAGCTGGCACGAGGCCAGTACAAGACTGAGCCTCTGCACTGCCTCTGGACAAGCAGCACTCAGCAGCCGGAGCCAAACCCTGTCCCCCCCCCCCCACATGCCCTGCTGCTGCTTGCCCAGCGGGGACAAAGCTGCTGCTTGTCTGGGAGGTGTGGGGAGGCCGGGCTGGCTCCTGCCACTGCATGCCACTTGTCTGGAAGCAGCAGAGCGAATCAGTCTCACACCAGCCCTGCACCAGATGGGCATAGCCCATGCTCCCAGTACCTTCCACCTGGAGTGCAGCCCCAGCCCTGCCCACCCATTCCGTGCAGATCCTGGGGCACATGCCCCTGCCCCATGCCCTCCTGGACTGGTAGTGGGAGCAGCAGCAAGAGCCACTGGACACGATGCCACATGAGCAGCTCCCAGACCAGTGGCGCACAGTGGAACGAGCCGCTCCACTCCCTCCCTGGGCAGCACTTGCCCCAGCCCCAGCCACAATCCCTCCCTTGCTGCGAGGACATTGATCTGCCCCCCCATGCCTCTTTCCTCCCCCTTCCCCCCACCACAACAGACTTAACAGCTGGATGCAGCTGTATCGAGCATGGTAAAGGAACCGATCCCCCATTTGTAATATTGTTCCTATGGGAAAACTGGTTCCGAGTTACGACTTAAGACACAATTTTCAGGAACCAATTGTGTTGCAAGTCTGAGGGCTGCCTGTACAGCACTTTGGAGCATGTTTCATTTAACATAAAATGGAGATGCCCCTTTGAATTCCTCTTTTACCGTGATCACATAGGAGAAAGGTACCTCAGAATGAGAATGCCACCAATATAATCCAGTAAGGAAAGGGCCTTCTTCTTCTGGTAGTCTAGGAAGCTTAACATAATTTGAAAGTGTATGGACAGCACTGGATTATCTAGAGCTGCCCACTTCTACAGTATCCATGTTCTTGGAGCTGGGCAGGAAACAATCTTCCTGTGCCACAAAATTTTATGAGATTTCAAATGCTGTCTGACTGCATATCAGGACAAAGCCAAGATCTTTCACAATCAAGAGACATACCCTGCCCCCAGCTTCTCCTACACAGGAGAGCAAATAGTTCTGCTATGAATCTGGCAGAAGGGACTTGAAAGTGAATCTCTTCCTCCCAGACAAATGTCCCAATCATTTGGCTATTTGTTACTCTAGGGCAGGTGGGAGAGTGGGGGTTTTGGGGGCACTTCTCTCACACCCTCCTTGAAATTCCATTCTGGGTGAAGAAGCTTTTCCTGACCAATGAGCATTTCCCAACAAATAACATTTAACTGAAACATTTCTCACCAACCCTATCGTCAGCTTTCAGTAAAACGTGAGCATGGCCAATCTCATCTTACGCTTTTACTGACTCTGCTGAATCCCACTGAGAAGTTCTACAAGGTGTCTCTGTTAACCATGAGCTTTATGTTTGCTCCTCTTTATCAAGGTAGGGTGGAATGGGAGATGGGTTAAAGGAAGGAACCAAATCAGACACTGATTTTTGCAGTAGGAGAGGCTAGTTTCAAACACAATTTGTTTGGATTCTTCTGTTTCTTTGTGCATGCAGCTCACAAAACACTCATAGAAATGGCTCTCTCTTTTTCCACTTTCCACATATTTCACAGAGCAGCAAAAAAGGGGCACAAACCCAATTTTAAAAAACAATTCCTTTGCAGGTCACCTTTAACTAGAAGCACTTGTCCTGTTTCTCTAACTTCCTGGATGAGTGCCAGTAGGGTTCTTTTTCCATTTCTCCATTAACTTTTCAATCCAGTCTTAATGTAGGAATTTAATTCACAATCCCCTCTGCTTGCCTCCCTTTAACCCTTCAGCATCCCAAGAGCAGATAGCATATGCCCAGAAAACTAACATACCACATGACTCTACACCACTGTGAATGCACCTTCTCATATACTCTTTACCAAAATCCAGTGGGTACGTTGTCCAGTATACTGGGGGGAGGGGATGAGAATGAATTTACACTATGAAATAAATATGTTAACAACAACGATAATCAATTTCTAGATTGCACTGCATTTACGAATGCTACAGCAAGTAAGTGGATACACTGCCAGATATTTGGAAATGCTCAAAGAGTGTCTGTTATAAAACTATGACTCACCTCCACACAGTTGGTAGATGCCTACTCAGTTTTCACTATTTGGGACATCCTGGACATTGGTTTTGAGCTCTATCTTGTAAACCAGAGCAGGTGGGTTTTTGGGTTTGTTTGTTTTTTTAATAATAAAGCTGTAAAGATGGAATTTCTCCTTCAGATGAGATAAGTGGCATGCCATTTTAAAGCCTCTGTATTAGAACATATTCATTCTTAATACATTTGAGCAAAGGTTCATACTTTCTGTGCAAACAGAGATTACCAACTGGGAGTAATGGCCATTATTTGCAAACACCAGCATGACTCAGAACAGACGACCAGATTTTAATAGCCTTCTTTATGCTTAATAGGCAACACCTTCAAGTAATGCTATTTGTGGAGACAAGTACCATCAGCATGAGCCAAGATATCAGATTCAGGTTCACAACAGGGATATTTTTAACAACAGCCCTTCACTTACACAGCGAAAATTTAGAGTTTGATTATTTTAAATTTACTTCATTTATTGGCAATTTTCTGATGTTTCGTAGCATGACATGCAAACACCTCTGAGCAAGCCATTCTAGAGTTTGCAGTGTCCTTTGCTGAGAGCACCCAGTTCCATGTCCTTCATTTTCTCTTCTAAGCTGTCACCTTAATAACAATGGAGTCTTATGTAGTCGGGACAGTGACACAGAAAGCCCTTTCCTTGCACCTTGTTGGAGTCTCTCTTGGTATCTTGTAGGATCAATTGTTGTGCGTGAAAGAGCCTTTCAGCATGGTAAGAGGATGTGGATTTTCTTGGAACTGAAGAGGAGTGCTTTCGTTTGGGCATGAGATAAGGGTGAACATCAAAAGAAACTCTAGTCTTTGTGGAAAAGAACTGGCTAGATTAATTCATTTCCAGCTGGGAAAAAAGATCAGCCTGTTGATATCTGCA